ATGGAACAGTCTGCCTACCCATGTGAGAGACGCAGACTCGGTCTCAACCTTTAAGTCTTTACTGAAGACTTATCTCTTCAGTAGGTCATATGATTGAGTGTAGTCTGGCCCAGGAGTGTGAAGGTGAACGGAAAGGCTGGAGCAACGAACAGCCCTTGCTGTCTCTGCCGGGCCGGTTCCCCTCTCCACTGGGGTTCTCTGCCTCTAACCCTGTTGCAGGGGCTGAGTCACTGGCCTGCTGGTGCTCTTTCATGCCGTCCCTGGGAGGGGTGCGTCACTTGAGTGGGTTGAGTTACTGACGTGATCTTCCTGTCTGGGTTGGCGCCCCCCCCCCCCTTGGTTTGTGCTGTGGTGGAGACCTCTGTGGGCTATACTCGGCCTTGTCTCAGGATTGTAAGTTGGTGGTTGGGGATATCCCTCTAGTGGTGCGGGGGCTGTGCTTTGGCGGAGTGGGTGGGGTTATATCCTTCCTGTTTGGCCCTGTCCGGGGGTTTCTTCGGATGGGGCCACAGTGTCTCCGGACCGCTCCTGTCTCAGCCTCCAGTATTTATGCTGCAGTAGTTTATGTGTCGGGGGGCTGGGGTTAGTTGGTTATACCTGGAGTACTTCTCCTGTCTTATCCAGTGTCCTGTGTGAATTTAAGTATGCTCTCTCTAATTCTCTCGTTCTCTCTTTCTCTCTGAGAACCTGAGCCCTAGGACCATACGTCAGGACTACCGGGCATGATGACACCCTGCTGCCCCCAGTCCGCCTGGCCTTGCTGCTATTCCAGTTTCAACTGTTCTGCCTGCGGCTACGAAACCCCTACCTGTCCCAGACCTGCTGTTTTCAACTCTAAATGATCGGCTATGAAAAGCCAACTGAGAGACCTGAGCCCTAGGACCATACGTCGGGACTACCGGCCGTGGTGACTCCTTGCTATCCCCAGTCCGCCTGGCCTTGCTGCTATTCCAGTTTAAACTGTTCTGCCTGCGGTTATGGAACCCCTACCTGTCCCAGACCTGCTGTTTTAAACTCTAATGATCGGCTATGAAAAGCCAACTGAGATTTATTCCTGATTATTATTTGACCATGCTTGTCACTTATGAACATTTTTGAACATCTTGGCATGGTTCTGTTATAATCTCCACCCGGCACAGCCAGAAGAGGACTGGCCACCCCTCATAGCCTGGTTCCTCTCTAGGTTTCTTCCTAGGTTTTGCCTTTCTAGGGAGTTTTTCCTAGCCACCGTGCTTCTACACCTGCATTACTAGCTGTTTGGGGTTTTAGGCTGGGTTTCTGTACAGCACTTCGAGATATTAGCTGATGTAAGAAGGGCTATATAAAATAAAATTGATTGATTGATTGAATGCCGACTGCAGGCCAGGTCTAATCGCCCAACATCAGTGTCCGACCTCACTAATGCGCTTGTGGCTGAATGGAAGCAAGTCCCCACAGCAAAATTCCAGAATCTAGTGGAAAGCCTTCCCAGAAGCGTGGAGGCTGTTATAGCAGCAAAGGGGGGGACCAACTCATTCCAAAATCATGGGCATTTATGAGACGTTCGACGGGATGTTCCACGTACTTTTGGCCATGTAGTGTATTTTCAGTAAACCAGCCAGTACGCTAACCACACTCAATGGATTAATACCCTTGAGGTGAAGGGTATGCCCTACATTTGATGTTTGGTCTGGAGATTAAAATGAATTGAATACGTTGTTTTTGAGGTTCCTCGTTAATGATGAAAGCCACACCAGTCAGATGAAGGCTGTATGATTTAAAGAGCAGGAAAGTCTTGAGTTGGAAATAATTCTAATCCCGCCATGTTCGGCCTAGCTGATCTCACTGTGTCCTTGTGACTGCCACTGCTGTTTTGTAAAGAGGCTGTGCCATTCTGTGCTGTCTGCTGTAGAGCCCTAGTTTTAGTTACAGCATTGACCTTGGTAGAGGGACATTACTATCTACAGCCTGTTGATGTTGCCTCCCCTATAGAAGTTTGGCTTACTCTTTGTTGGTTTTAGGTTGACAGTCATGGTTGCTGACTTTTGGGGGGCCTTTTTTTCGACTGCCTGAAACAAAATCTAGGGGAAACACTGCACATGCATTGTGGTAATCCTAAATATTCATTAGAAATGCTGCGGTCTAACAACTGTTGTAACGATGGTCAAACAATGGTTTAAAAAGTCATATCTAACAAGAAAGCATGCTAGCTTTTGCTTTTCTCATCAAAACGTAATATTTTGTGCTCATCCTCGAACACTGTAGCCTACAGGTAAATACAGCAAGGTTAGTTTCAATTGAAACCTGTTAAGGTATTTAATGTGGGTTGTGATGCACAGAGCTAAGAGTCATGAATAATGGGTGAAACTGAAGGTGTTTCTCATCAGCTTTGTTAGGCTAAGTAAACCATAATTGACTATTGGAAAGCATGGGGCGACGGTAAACAATTTATTAAAGCATATAATTTGTTTAAAATAATTCAAAGCAAGTTGTCTTTTCGTATAGTTCAATGTCAGGCTGTTGCCAATGGCAACATTGCTTCTGGATTTCACTTTTGTACATGTATTCGAATGGGCTGCAGATGTAATGTGTGTATTAAACTGTCATACCCTGAGTATTGAACCATTTTGGAGTTCTGACATCAAGAGCTCAAACAGTTTGTTCCTCCAAGAAAATATTGATTTTAAAATGCAACAAATGGGCCTAGTCTTGAATGTGTTTTCTGTAAATATGAACACATTGACTTGGAACAATTTGATGTTTGGCTGTTTTTGTTTGTGATAGTAACATGTCATGGTAAATTAGAACATGTCCTGTACTTGAATGTGCTGGTCATCAGGGCTCAGATCTAACTAACATATTAGGATTTTGACTGTGTTTCTGCATTGTCGTTAAGGTTGTGATTTCACTGTAAGAGATGTGTGCTGATTGCATGTTTGCACTAAAACTGAGTAGCACTTGATACATGTACACTGAACCAAAATATAAACGCAACATATAAAGGGTTGGTCCTATGTTTCATGAGCTGAAATAAAAAAAAAATATATAAAAAAATCCCAGAAATGTTCCATACAAACAAGAAGCTTATTTCTCAACAACAACAAAAAAATTGCACATTTGTTTATCGCTGTTCGTGAGCATTTCTGCTTTGCCAAGATAATCCAGCCACCTGACAGGTGTGGCATATCAATAATCTGATTAGACGGCATGAGCAATACACAGGTGCACCTTGTGCTGGGGACAATAAAAGGCCACTAACAGAACACAATGAGGGCGCGTGCAATTGTCATGCTGACTGCAGGAATGTCCACCAGAGCTGTTGCCAGAGAATTGAATGTTTATTTCTCTACCATAAGCCGCCTCCAACGTCGTTTTAGTGAATTTGGCAGTACCTCCAACCGGCCTCACAACCGCAGACCACGTTTATGGCGTCTTGTGGACGATCAGTTCACTGATGTCAATGTTGTGAACAGAGTGCCACATGGTGGGTTTATGGTATGGTCAGGCATAAGCTACAGACAATGAACACAATTGCATTTTATCGACGGCAATTTTGAATGGCACAGAGATACCTTGACGAGATCCTGAGGCCCATTGTCGTGCCATTCATTTGCTGCCATCACCATGTTTCAGTGCGATAATGCACGGCCCCATGTCGCAAGGATCTGTACAAAATTCCTTTAAGCTGAAAATGTCCCAGTTCTTCTTCCAGAGACCCATTGAGCATATTTGGGATACTCTGGATCGACGCGTACGACCAGCGTCTTACAGTTCCCTCCAATATCCAGCAACTTCGCACAGCCATTGAAGAGGAGTGGGTCAACATTCCAAAGGCCACAATCAACAGCCTGATGAACTCTTATGTAATAATAATATGCCATTTAGCAGACACTTTTATCCAAAGCGACTTAGTCATGTGTGCATACATTTTTACGTATGGGTGGTCCCGGGGATTGAACCCACTAACCTGGCGTTACAAGCGCCATGCTCTACCAATTGAGCTACAGAAGACCCTATGTCCCTATGTGAAGGAGATGTCGCACTGCGTGAGGCAAATGGTGGTCACACCAGATACTGACTGGTTTTCTGATCTATGCTTCTACTTTTTTTTTTAAAGGTATCTGTGACCAACAGATGCATATCTGTATTCCCAGTCATGTAATATCAATAGATTATGGCCTAATGAATTTATTTCAATTGACTGATTTTCCTTTTTATATGAACTGTAACTTAGTAAAGTCTTTGAAATTGTTGAGTTTTATATTTCTGTTCAGTGTAATTGAACATGCTGATAACACTCCCACTGCTTTGAGATTTGTCATGCTTAGCTTTGTCATCTGGCTACAGTTATGGCAGGTAAAGATGGTTTCTTTTTAAATAGATTATGGGATGGTGATTCCGTTTGCTGACTGCATAGATCATTTATTTTTTTAATCGTGCTTTGTTGGGGTTCAACTGGACCTTCCTCAGACTTTGAATATGGTGGCGTTTAGCAGTAAGTAGCAGGTGAAATGTATCCACTTTTTAATTATTAGTGATTTGATATGTGGCAGGCTTGGATATACCCTGACGTGTTCTGTTTTGTAACCTGGCTTTAGGGTTATAAAGACCTGACAGTAGCCTGACAATTGCTTGATCACATGAGACGCAATGTTAATTGAATGACAGCAGATTGGGGGATTTTGTTTTCTTTTGTGAGTTAGTGAATTTGTCGGCGTAATAAAAGCAGTGGCATCGATATCTGGCGAGCTGCAGATGTAAGATGTACTGTGCAGCTTTATGGATTTCAGTCAATCTTACTGTGACTCATTCCATCATTACTCTTGTTGTTTCTGTTTGTGTGGCCTGATTTTTATTATTCTTTTGACTAAACTCCCTACAGATATTTCCCCAGTCTCATTTCTGCTCCTTGCCAAAGATATTTCCCCTCTCCCAACGATGAAGTGATCGCCGCTGACTTGCTTTTTGTTCCAGTGAATCTAACATACAGTACTTCTTTTTTTTTTGTGTGTGTGTGTCCACATTTGCAGACGGGAACTCCAAACTAACATGGCAGTCAGACTGTGCGACGTGGCTTCTCTGCTTAGAAGTGGTTCGTGGGCGGCAGAGCCTTGGACTGGGGTTGGTGGTACTTCTTCTTCTTCAATTCATTTGGCCAATCATGCTCATCGTCTCAGGCCATACCAATGTTGGCCAATCATGCTCATCGTCTCAGGCCATACCAATGACTAGCTCTCACCATGTTTGGACATTTTTGTTTTATTTTTTATTTTATTTTTTTATAAGTCTGTGTTCAATATTAGGCTAATTTATGGTGCTTTTTTGTTTTACGAGAAACTGAGTAGTCTGTCCATTTGGTATGGTCTAAAACTGTGTTTTGTAATGACTGTCTGAATGTAGTATAGCATTTGAAATACCTGTTGGGAGATCCATCAATTTTACTTTTCTAGGATAAATATCGGATGTTGTCCTTACATATCCTATCCCCTTTTTGTTTTGTAGTGACATTATTCTCACGGTTGTCAGTGGTGGAAAAAGGACCCAATGGTCATAAAAGTAAAGTTACCTTAATAGGAAATGACTCGAGTGAAAGTCACCCAGAAAAATCCAACTTGAGTAAAAGTTTTAAATATACTTAAGTATTAAAAGTATAAATAATTTCAAATTCCTTATATTAAGCAAACCAGACAGCACCATTTTCTTGTTTTGTTTAATTTACGGATAGCCAGGGGCACACTCCAACACTCAGACATCATTTACAAATGAAGCATGTGTTTAGTGAGTCCACCAGATCAGAGGCAGTAGGGATGACCAGGGATGTTCTCATGATAAGTGTGTGAATTAGACCATTTTCCTGTCCTGCTAAGCATTCAAAATGTAACAAATAAATGGAGTAGAAAGTACATGATTTTCTTTAGGAATGTAGTGAAGTAAAAGTTGTCAAATGTAAATAGTAAAGTACAGATACAAAAAAAAACTGACTTAAGTAGTATAAAGTATTTATACTTAAGTACTTTACACCACTGATTGTAGCTGTATTTGTATTCACAACACATGTTACTGACTTGAATGATGGAGATGGCCTACTGAATTTAACTGTCAGTTAGGGCTGGGAATTACCAAGGACATCACGATACTTAGGTGCCGATAGGATATGTATTGCGATTCTCACGATTCTATATGTATTGTGATTTCAATATTGCGATTTGATGTTCCAAACATATTGCTCACTAGGTCTGCTGCAGAGAGACGTGTGAGAATGCGCTTTGATCGGTCATGGAAATAAAAACAGAAAATGAAAACATGTTGGCTCTCTATTTACAAAGAAGATGGAGAACAAGCTATAGGATGAAAAAGAACGGTGTTTTGGCGAAGCTACTGCCAACTAGCGCAGGCTAACGCAACCTAGCAAAAAAACACAAACAAATCGATCCTTGGAGTTAAAGTAGCAATATTTCGGCCAAAATAATATCACGATATGCAACTATTGATTTCCCCCATCACTGTGTGTATATACAGCTCTGGAAAAAATTAAGAGACCACTGCAAATTTCTTAAATCAGCATCTCTACATGTATGACTTCCATTCCAGTGTCTGTTGAATTCCAACACAGGCACACCTCATTCTACTGAATTAGGTACTGATTAGGTGATCACCTGAACCAAATGTTATTTAACGAGGAAAAAGTATAAAAACCACCACTGTGGTCATCACTATCCTCTTGCAATAGGACCAGCTGGATGGCAAAAACAGTGCTAATATTACCTCAAAAGTAATATTAATCAAAAAATAACTATTGACCATGCCAAACGAGTTGAAAAGGAAAGTTTTGAGTGAGGAAAAGAAGGGTTCAATTCTGGCTTTACTGGCAGAGGGATACAGTGAGCGTCAGGTTGCTTCCATCCTTAAAATTTCAAAGATGGCGGTTCATAAGAACAAGGTCAAGCAGCAGACATTGGGGACAACAAAGCTACAGACCGGCAGAGGGCGAAAACGACTCTACTGACCGGGATGACCGCCAACTCATTCGAATGTCACTCAACAACCGTAGGATGACATCAAGTGACCTACAAAAATAATGGCAAACGGCAGCTGGGGTGAAGTGCACGGCGAGGACGGTTCGAAACAGGCTCCTAGGGACAGGGCTGAAGTTGTGCAAAGCTAGAAAAAAGCCCTTCATCAATGAGAAGCAAAGAAGAGCCAGGCTGAGGTTTGCAAAAGACCATAAGGATTGGACTGGAGTACGGTCATCTTCTCTGAGTCCAATTTTCAGCTTTGCCCAACACCTGGTCGTCTAATGGTTAGACGGAGACCTGAGAGGCCTTCAAGCCACAGTGTCTCGCACCCACTGTGAAATTTAGTGGAGGATCGGTGATGATCTGGGGGTGCTTCAGCAAGGCTGGAATCGGGCAGATGTCTTTGAACATGAACTTATTTTCTTTGCATTATTCGAGGTCTGACAACACTGCATATTTTTTGTTATTTTGACCAGTTGTCATTTTCTTCAAATAAATGCTCTAAATGACAATATTTTTATTTGGAATTTGGGAGAAATGTTGTCAGTAGGTTATAGAATAAAACAAAAATGTTATTTTTACCCAAACACATACCTATAAATAGTAGAACCATAGAAACGGATCATTTTGCAGTGGTCTCTTATTTTTTTCCAGAGCTGTATATACGTGTGTGTGTATAATAAATATATATATATATATATATATATATATATATATTAGTGCATTCTGAAAATATTCAGACCCCTTCCACATTTTGTTACGTTACAGCCTTATGCTAAAATGTATTACATTATTTTTTCCCCCTCAACTTACACGCAATACCCCATACTGACAAAGCAAAAACAGGTTTTTAGAGGTTTTATTTATTTAAAAAAATTAAAACGTACGTTATTTACATAAGTATTCAGTAATTGAGCACGGGTGCATCCTGTTTCCATTGATCATCCTTGATGTTTCTACATCTTGATTGGAGTCCGCCTGTGGTAAATTTAGATTCATTGGACATGATTTGTAAAGGCACACACCTGTCTATATAAGGTCCCACAGTTGACAGTGCATGTCAGAGCAAAAACCAAGCCATGAGGTCGAAGGAACTCCGAGACAGGATTGTGTCGAGGCACAGATCTGGGGAAGGGTACCAAAAAATGTCTGCAGCATTGAAGGTCCCCCAAGAACACAGTGGCCTCAATCATTCTTAAATGGAAGACGTTTCAAACCACCAAGACTCTTCCTAGAGCTGGCCGTCTGGCCAAACTGAGCAATCAATGGAGGAGGGCCTTGGTCAGGGAGGCAAAGAACCCAATGGTCACTCTGACAGAGCTCCAGAGTTCCTCTGTGGAGATGGGAGAAACTTCCAGAAGGACAACCATCTCTGCAGCACTCCACCAATCAGGCCTTCACGGTACAAGAGCCACTCCTCTGTAAAAGGCACATGACGGCCCCCTTGGAGTTTGCCAAAAGGCACCTAAAGGACTCTGACCACGAGAAACAAGATTCTCTGGTCTAATGAAACCAAGATTGAACTCATTGGCCTGAATGCCAAGCATCACATCTGGAGGAAACCAGGCACCGCTCTTCATCTACTGTCAACTGTGGGACCTTTTTATATACAGTCTTGGTTAAAGGTTTTGAGAATGACACAAGTACTGGTCTTCACAAAGTTTGCTGCTTCAGTGTTTTTAGATATTTTTGTCAGATGTAATTATACTTCAGTATACCATAGTAACAAGCATTCCATAAGTGTCAAATGCTTTTATTGACAATTACATTAAGTTTATGCAAAGAGTCAATATTTGCAGTGTTGACCCTTCTTTTTCAAGACCTCTGCAATCCGCCCTGGCATGCTGTCAATTAACTTCTGGGCCACATCCTGACTGATGGCAGCCCATTCTTGCATAATCAATGCTTGGAGTTTGTCAGGATTTGTGGGTTTTTGTTTGTCCACCCGGCTCTTGAGGATTGACCAAGTTCTCAATGAGATTAAGGTCTGGGGAGTTTCCTGGCCATGGATCCAAAATGTCAATGTTTTGTTCCCCGAGCCACTTAGTTATCACTTTTGCCTTCGTCATGCTGGAAAAGGCATTGTTCGTCACCAAACTGTTCTTGGATGGTTGGGAGAAGTTGCTCTCGGAGGATGTGTTGGTACCATTCTTTATTCATGGCTGTGTTCTTAGGAAAAATTGTGAGTGAGCCCACTACCTTGGCTGAGAAGCAACCCCACACATGAATGTTCTCAGGATGCTTTACTGTTGGCATGACACAGGACTGATGGTAGCGCTCACCTTGTCTTCTCCGGACAAGCTTTTTTCTGGATGCCCCAAACAATCGGAAAGGGGATTCATCAGAGAAAATGACTTTACCCCAGTCCTCAGCAGTCCAATCCCTGTACCTTTTGCAGAATATCAGTCTGTTCCTGATGTTTTTCCTGGAGAGAAGTGGCTTCCTCGCTGCCCTTCTTGACACCAGGCCATCCTCCAAAAGTCTTCGCCTCACTGTGCGAGCAGATGCACTCACACCTGCCTGCTGCCATTCCTGAGCAAGCTCTGCACTGGTGGTGCCCCGATTCTGCAGCTGAATCAACTTTAGGAGATGGTCCTGGCGCTTGCTGTACTTTTTTGGGCGCCCTGAAGCCTTCTTACATTTACATTTTAGTCATTTTAGCAGACGCTCTTATCCAGAGCGACTTAGTTAGTGAGTGCACACATCTCCACACTGGCCCCCCCGTGGGAAAACGAACCCACAACCCCGGCGCCGCAAGCGCCATGCTCCACCAACCGAGATACAGGGGTCCCATGATACCGACGTAAAAATGTGCTTGCTATATATCAGTCATTAGATTAAAACAAGTCCCTGTAACCTAGTCCTAGATGGATGAAAGGTCTTCATAAAATGACACTAAACAAAAAAAGCTGGGTAAGAAGGGTAAAAAGACTAAGAAGAGAATACCCTCTTAAGACAAAATACATTTCAAGTAAGGCAGAAGATATATTCTTCTCTCTCTACCACCGGCCATTCCTGTCGAGAGGAGAAGTTATTACAAAATCAAAAAAACGTAAGATGAAAATTAAATCAAAAACACTGAGGGGGAAAAAAACAACACTAAGCTTTGCTAAACCCCATTTCTATTTTGGTTCACGAGGAAATGGCTACCGTCCCTATCTCCAGCCTCCTTCACAACAATTGAATCTCTCTCCTTGAAGTTCTTGATGATCTGTTAAATGGTTGATTTTAGGTGCAATCTTACTAGCAGCAATATCCTTGCCTGTGAAGCCCTTTTTGTGCAAAGCAATGATGACGGCACGTGTTTCCTTGCAGGTAACCATGGTTAACAGAGGAAGAACAATGATTTCAAGCACCATCCTCCTTTTTTTAAAGCTTCCAGTCTGTTATTTTAACTCAATCAGCATGACAGAGTGATGTCCTGCCTTGTCCTCGTCAACACTCTCACCTGTGTTAACGAGAGAATCACTGACATGATGTCAGCTGGTCCTTTTGTGTCAGGGCTGAAATGCAGTGGAAATGTTTTTTTGGGGATTAAGTTCATTTTCATGGCAAAGAGGGACTTTGCAATTAATTGCAATTCATCTGATCACTCTTCATAACATTCTGGAGTATAATCAAATTGCCATCATAAAAACAGATATATATATTTGTGTCATTCTCAAAACTTTTGACCACGACTGTAGACAGGTGTGTGCCTTTCCAAATAATTTCCAATCAATTGAATTTACCACAGGTGGACTCCAAATCAAGTTGTAGAAACATCTCAAGGATGATCAATGGAAACAGGATGCACCTGAGCTCAATATCGAGTCTCATAGCAAAGGGTCTGAATACTTGTGTAAAGGTCTGTTTTTATCTAAACCTGTTTTCCCTTTGTCGTTATGGGGTATTGTGTGTAGATTGAAGAATATTTATTGTATTTAATCAATTTTAGAGTAAGGCTGTAATGTTACAGCACAGGCAGCAGTTCTCCTGTGGATGACTGTTAGTTTGCATCTTGCTATCTGCAAAACGCTAGTTAGTCTTAGCAAGCTGCACATGTGCCTAAAAAAAAATTGCGTAGCTAGCTCAATTTACTGACTGAGATGGGGGCAAATCTGGTTAGTAAACTTTAACTCTAATACTGTGGTGGTATACCTTGATCTGCATGTTCTGAATCAGACCGGAATGTTTAGATTCTTTGTCTGAATATTCAGGCGGCACATCTTGCGCAGAAATCTCTCTCGTTCCAAAAACCCCGGAACTGCAGCCACTGAATTATATAATGGGGATACCGTAGCCTGATCTGGGAGGGCTGTATTTTCAGCTTTTCAAAGTTATTTATTCACTGTAGATTTGTAGGTCTAATAGTAATAATCTCGAATACTCCGTGATAACTAGCATATTGTTCAATAGCCTATTTAGAGTAGGATAATAATAGATTATAATAAGATTTATAATAGGTTAATTTATAATAGATTCTTCTCACACTGATAGGCTACACATAATTATGTATTCTGTTTTTGATTTTTTTTTTCAATTCAGGTCAGTCCAACTTTACGCTTCCCAAAAGTGAAAGGCTGTAAACTTGATAATATGGTGTCATAAAATGTCCGTTTTTGAATTCAATCCCCTATGTGAAGAGCATCCTTTTTAACTATCCAATTTGTCAGCTTCCTGTTGGATTTATTAGCATTAGCTGGGTAAAAAATTAGTATTTGAGTATCTGGTATTTTAATAATAATAAAAAAATTGGTCTGCGTATAAAAAAACACAAGTGTTTTTATTTGAGTATTTTAAGGGTTATTTGTAAAAACCATAGTTTACCAAATTGTATTTGACAGTTTAAGTACTATTTTAAAATACCTGGGTTAATGCACGGGCGTGTGTATTTGAGTATTTTTTTAAATGCTTTCCAAGTGTGTTTCCAAATTCATTAAAAATATTAAACAACTTCTCTTTTCAAATAAAAGATATCTGAAAACGTGAATGTATGTAGAAGTAATTAAGATGTTTGAAATAGTATTTGGACCCGGTCTGTTAGCATTTTGACTTTACTTTTCTGTCTCTTTTAGCAGGTAATTGCTGCCATGGAAACACAGCTGTCCAATGGGCCCACTTGCAACAACACAAGCAACGGTCCCTCAACAATCTCAAACAACTGCTCCTCTCCGGTAGAGTCGGGGAGCATGGAGGACAGTAAAACTAACTTGATCGTGAACTACCTGCCTCAGAACATGACCCAAGAAGAGCTCAAGAGTTTGTTTGGGAGCATCGGGGAAATAGAGTCCTGTAAATTAGTTCGAGACAAAATAACAGGTAAGGTATGCAGATGCCATTTGAATTGTTAAGAGGTGCTCAATTGTATTTCTTTTTTTCTTTTGTGAAGTTGTAAAATGTAGAGTTTTTATATATCAGTTGAGACCACAGCCATGTTATTGTTTTTGGGTGGATGGAATCATTGGCATTTGTCTCTCTTGCATTCATTCTTTCCCTCGCTAGCTTGACGCCATTTATTCTCCAGTGTCATGAATTATGGAACTTTGTGCTTTTTATCCCCAATTAAAGCACGGATCTTGCGTTTTAAGATTATATTTAGTGAGGCGAAAAAGTCTCTGAGCAAAATGTTATAATTAGATTTGCATCTCTTAAGTGAAAGTCATTATGAAACTTACCCAGCAGCAAACCCAGATTGACTTACTCTATAAAGGACTGATTTTAAATTGTTAAATATCACTGGTTTAACTTGTTCTTTTTAAAAACTGCTTGCTTGTGTCATCCGCAATGCCAAAGGAGGGCAACCCTTTGGGTATCTGAACATGGGGACATTAGGTTTCCTTTGTGGAAAAAGGACATTCCTTCCCAGGCTCACATTTTACAGGATTTTTGTAAGTCCAGACATTTTACCTGAGGTGACATTTTTCACTGTAATAATCCTGTATTTGTTGAAAGGCTTTTCTAGGTAGAAATCTGAATGTCACCATTTTATATCAGTGACTGTGGATGTGTAAAGGAAGGGGAAATGCTGCAGATCTCAAGTAAAAGGCATAAGCACACATTGACATGGCCTCTCGGACATGATTAGGTAGATCACGTGTCAAACTCATTCCACGGAGGGGCAGAGTGTCTGCGGTTTTTCGCTCCACCCTTGTACTTGATTGATTGAATTAAAGGTCACCTGATTAGTTAGGAACTCCCCTCACCTGGTTGTCTAGGTCTTAATTGAAGTAAAAAAATCAGCAGACACTAGACCCTCCATGGAAAGAGTTTGACACCCCTGGGGTAGGTGAGGCCGATGCTGCTGGATCATGACTGCTCAGTGTATCAAGGTTACCTAGACCTCCCTCCATCTGCTGGATCATGACTGCTCAGTGTATCAAGGTTACCTAGACCTCCCTCCATCTGCTCTCTGCTCTTCATAACTCTCACTCACAGGGACTTGGTAGGGAGTCTGTAGCCATAGTGAGAATTGCATCAGTTTCATTTTGCATTTGGCCCTGAAACATTTACTATGCCTCAGTAAATGTGGTGTGGTGCCTTATCCCATTTGTAGACGCTGAAGGTCATACGAATGTTTTCCCCCAATGGCAAGTGAAACCACTTGAATTGACGCCTGTATTTTTGTAGTCATAAGCAATGTTCCCTCAAAAGCAATGTTCCCGAGACTGCCGCGCAGTTCCCCCGGGACTGCCTCGCAGAAGAAATATCAGCCCACAGAGAGAAGCATGAGATTTCAACTTTCTAGAATTTTCCCTGTTAACACTACCAGCGTTTCCCTTTACTGTGGCAACTGTGATCGAATCAACACAATATTAGCCACTTTCAATGAAACATACCGAAAACAAAACGAACTATGCAAGCGATTTTGTTGTAGGCAGAACGCATCTGAGTAGGATTCTATTGCTTTGACAGGCACGACTCAGCCCGTACTCTACAGAGGCCGGCGTGGCATAGCCAATCAGAGCTGCAGTATGGATCTGTGCCAGTCACTTTGAACTGGACTGTGTTTACAGCATGAGCAGTCGTGAGTAGATGCGCTTGTTTTGAGATCAAAGCGAGAGCTGCATGTAGCCAAGTCGGCACATTTCTGTTCGTATTATTTTCTAGTTAGTGAGTTATTAGCCCAGTTATAGATAATTTATAGTCAGCAATAGGAGTGATTGCTTCCTACAAGAGCACACAACGTGTACATTTTCTAGATGTCTTTGAAAGGGGTCGGGTAAATAACTTTTTGTCTTAAAGGGGCTGTTGTATTTTGAGACTGGCTTGAATAAGCCAAGTAGCCAATAGGCAGAGGGTAACATAATTTGTCTGATTCTTTGTAATAATGGTATGGGAATAATGCATTTTATTTTGTAAAGTGGTTTCTTGCATCAGACAACATTTTCAGTGACCTTGTCTCAAGGACAAGTGGATAAACAAGGTAATGTCAAGGGCTGCATATTTATTTCAAAAGTCATGTAAGGTACATACAGTGGGGAGAACAAGTATTTGATACACTGCCGATTTTGCAGGTTTTCCTACTTACAAAGCATGTAGAGGTCTGTAATTTTTATCATAGGTACACTTCAACTGTGAGAGACTGAATCTAAAACAAAAATCCAGAAAATCACATTATGATTTTTAAGTAATTCATTTGCATTTTATTGCATGACATAAGTATTTGATCACCTACCAACCAGTAAGAATTCCGGCTCTCACAGACCTGTTAGTTTTTCTTTAAGAAGCCCTCCTGTTCTCCACTCATTACCTGTATTAACTGCACCTGCTTGAACTCGTTACCTGTATAAAAGACACCTGTCCACACACTCAATCAAACACTCCAACTTCTCCACAATGGCCAAGACCAGAGAGCTGTGTAAGGACATCAGGGATAACATTGTAGACCTGCACAAGGCTGGGATGGGCTACAGGACAATAGGCAAGCAGCTTGGTGAGAAGGCAACAACTCTTGGCACAATTATTAGAAAATGGAAGAAGTTCAAGATGACGGTCAATCACCCTCGGTCTGGGGCTCCATGCAAGATCTCACCTCGTGGGGCATCAATGATCATGAGGAAGCCCAGAACTACACGGCAGGACCTGGTCAATGACCTGAAGAAAGCTGGGACCACAGTCTCAAAGAAAACCATTAGTAACACACTATGCCGTCATGGATTAAAATCCTGCAGCGCACGCAAGGTTCCCCTGCTCAAGCCAGCGCATGTCCAGGCCCATCTGAAGTTTGCCAATGACCATCTGGATGATCCAGAGGAGGAATGGGAGAAGGTCATGTGGTCTGATGAGACAAAAATATAGCTTTTTGGTCTAAACTCCACTCGCCGTGTTTGGAGGAAGAAGGATGAGTACAACCCCAAGAACACCATCCCAACCGTGAAGCGTGGAGGTGGAAACATCATTCTTTTTGGGGATGCTTTTCTGCAAAGGGGACAGGACGACTGCACCGTATTGAGGGGAGGATGGATGGGGCCATGTATCGCGAGATCTTGGCCAACAACCTCCTTCCCTCAGTAAGAGCATTGAAGATGGGTCGTGGCTGGGTCTTCCAGCATGACAACGACCCGAAACACACAGCCAGGGCAACTAAGGAGTGGCTCCGTAAGAAGCATCTCAAGGTCCTGGAGTGGCCTAGCCAGTCTCCAGACCTGAACCCAATAGAAAATCTTTGGAGGGAGCTGAAAGTCCGTATTGCCCAGCGACAGCCCCGAAACCTGAAGGATCTGGAGAAGGTCTGTATGGAGGAGTGGGCCAAAATCCCTGCTGCAGTGTGTGCAAACCTGGTCAAGACCTACAGGAAACGTATGATCTCTGTAATTGCAAACAAAGGTTTCTGTACCAAATATTAAGTTCTGCTTTTCTGATGTATCAAATACTTATGTCATGCAATAAAATGCAAATGAATTACTTAAAAATCATACAATGTGATTTTCTGGATTTTTGTTTTAGATTCCATCTCTCACAGTTGAAGTGTACCTATGATAAAAATTACAGACCTCTACATGCTTTGTAAGTAGGAAAATCGGCAGTGTATCAAATACTTGTTCTCCCCACTGTAGGTATACATTGAACACCACATTGGCTGCTACTGTAGGCTGAATGATAGTGGTCCTATTTCCATGTTAAAATGTTATGGGATGCACTTTCTCCATTGTTTTTGATGGTAGGCCACTGGTAGGCCTACATTATTGAAATGGCCACAGTAGCGTCTACCGTTGCTTGCTAAAATAATGATCGCACTGCCTCAATTAAAATATTATGGTGACACCTATGCATTTGGCAGCAATGCACGAGTATTCAGTTTAGCCTTTTTTATATTGTCTAGACATGTTGAATGTCTTCATGCCTAGAATAAAATCAATTAAATGAATATAAATTTACAGGGGGTAGTTTGGGGAAAAACTAATCCAGTGTGAATTGTCCTCAGGATTAAGGCACGTGCTGGGTTAATAATTACACAACCGACGTCTAATAGGGTTGTAGATTGTCAATGATATTGCTCTATTCCCGGGGTAGCCAGTCTTCATTTAAATAGGCCTACCTGTAAAAAATATAAAAATACAACCCTCCCTGCTGAAATATTAATAGTGTTCAATATTTTACAATGCTTATGTATAGCTCACCAGCTTTCAAAAGAAAGTATACTGGCAGGCTCTGTGTATGCTTCTCAGTAACTCCACCTAGTAATGGTGTGTCCAAGTCTAAAAATATAATGCTCTGAGTGTTTTTGAGCTAAATGGATCCATGTCCCTACATGCCCGGTACTACACTGTGCTCTGTCTCTCTGAGGGATTCCCATTCTCCCTGGGGAGAAAAAAAAGAGCCACTCGCCATAATATACACAATACGCAGCAAGGCTAACAACCTGTGAAATTACTGTGCTCTGTGCCATATTCTGTTTGTTCCGTTTGAAAAAAGAAGTGACTCATTTGCATGTAAACTGGCTATACAATCTAGACTGTCTCACACGGGATGACATCTGGATTATGCTTTTCCTCCCACGAGAGATGCATATGGAAACCGTATGAATGCATAATGGATAGGGTTGGGACAATACTAGCATCGCAATACTCGTTGTGGCAAGGAAATAAAAACACAAAGCGGATTAAACTTCTTTTTAGGAAAACAGCCCTAATGTTTGAAACATTGTCATCGAGTCGCTATTTTCCAACCTATATCACACAGTATTTACATACAGCAGCTTTTTAAAGGACCAAGGAGGTCGGTCTGTTTTCGTGGTTTCATTTTTTTTTGTCATGGAAAACATATTGCAATTCTGGTATTGTCCCAGCCCTGATAATGGACTAGGATTGAAAAATCTAAATTGAGATATTTAGGAGCCTTTTCTTTTTATTCTCATGTCTTCTGAACAAATCAGCATTGAGTGGTGCTTGTTATTTTTGAAGGACAGATTATTACTGGAAATTGTCTGAGTGGTTAAACCGACAACTGTTAAATCATGTAACTATGAGGAAGCTGTCTGTTATGATGGTTTGGACTAAGTGTGATTGCCTGCTTTGGTAAGCTTTTAGCTGTTGGCAAGTGAGTTGGGTATGGATTGCTTTTAAATCTTCAGACGAGCGTGAACAACAGGAAGAAGTGTCCCATGCTGCTCGTGTTAGCTACCTCAGATGTTGAGTAATCACCAGACATCCTGAGAGATGAACCTTGATGTCCTCTCTCTCCTCTAGCTTGCAGCCATATAATTTACTCTGTGCTGGGTGCAATCTCCCTGTTTTTAAATGTGCATCCCGTTGGCTCTCCTTCACTCCCCCCCCCAACGTCTGGGGAGCCAATTAGGGTATAGGCAGATGTTTGAGGAGTCCAATCTGAACAAAGGGACTATCCATAGGAAAGGGACTATCCATAGGAAAGGGACTATCCATAGGAAAGGGACTATCCATAGGAAAGGGCTATCCATAGGAAAGGGACTATCCATAGGAAAGGGACTATCCATAGGAAAGGGCTATCCATAGGAAAGGGCTATCCATAGGAAAGGGGCTATCCATAGGAAAGGGCTATCCATAGGAAAGGGGCTATCCATAGGAAAGGGACTATCCATAGGAAAGGGCTATCCATAGGAAAGGGCTATCCATAGGAAAGGGCTATCCATAGGAAAGGGGCTATCCATAGGAAAGGGCTATCCATAGGAAAGGGGCTATCCATAGGAAAGGGGCTATCCATAGGAAAGGGGCTATCCATAGGAAAGGGGCTATCCATAGGAAAGGGGCTATCCATAGGAAAGGGGCTATCCATAGGAAAGGGGCTATCCATAGGAAAGGGGCTATCCATAGGAATATGTGTAGTTTTCTCAATATAGCAGAATACAGTCAGAGGATTTGTTTGCCCTCCAGGCTCAAATGGAAGTGTCATCTCACCAGCTCATTTCAAAGGCTCACTGTGTTTCTCCTGGCTATAGCGCTCCCCGAGATGCAAGGTGAATTTCAGTTTATCAACTGTTCTTCATAGCGGCAGAGGAACCCGTGCAAGCAATGAGTCACGGTGATGGCCCACATTGAGCCAGAATGGGAGTGAATCTCCCCCATTTTTTTTATAGCATGTAAGATGGCAGACTCTGTTTTGAAGAGAGGACTCTCGAAAACCATCCCCTCGTTGAATCTGCATCCCTCATTGAAGCATTACGTGTGTACGTTTTGTGAATTTAGTTTAAGGGGTAATTTGTGCGCACTACCATGGGATTAGGAAAATATTCCCCCCCCCACCCCCCCAAGATTTCAATCTAATCTCATATTTGGTTTCCATATCTTTATTTATTAATATCTTTAATTCATATATTTTTAAGTTGCTTGTGAACTTGACCACCAGTCGAATTGCACAGAGACTAAATGGAGTGGGTGGAGGAAATTGAGTAGACAGTGTGCACATAAGGAGTGGGTGTCAATCTATTGTAGATTTTGGAAATAAATGATAGAGGGGAACGCGTTCAACCTCGGCGCTCGTCTGTGTCAGAGATGACTCACTTCGAAGCGGAGGAATCGCCTGCCATTGTTGACTTTAAGCCATTTTGTCAAGATGGGCCAAGATTCTGGGCCTAATAGCGGTTTCAAATGCAGCCAGTTGGCATGTGTGGATTCCTGTTTTAGAATATCCTGTGGTTGAATCCATTGTGATAGAAAGGCATTGGATATCTACAATAGAGGAAGTTCTGGGTAAAGGTCTATGGCTGCAAGCTAGAGGAGAGAGAGAGAGAGGACGTCAAGGTTCATCTCTCAGGATGCCTTGTGATTTACGCAACTTTCTGAGGTAGCTAGCACGAGCAGCATACGGCGTTAGGTTGGCTTAAGCTAAATCCACTGGGCCGTGTGAGACTCTAAATCACCAGCCAGTCAAAGAGAAATGAAGAGAAATTAAGGCTGAGATGTGCGTTATGGAGAATGGGAAGGTTCCAGGAATACTTTTCCTCTGTGGTCAACAGACTCAGAGCCACGTTGTCCACTCCCAAACACCTTCTAAATCAGTGGTATTCAAAGTCGGGAATCTGGATTGGCAGCAATTAGTTTTTTTCTTTTGATGTTGGCTCCGCACCATTGAGGCTTCAAGTTCATCAAATGTTCTTTTAGAGTGGAACTGTTGAACTGTTGTGCATCTCTAGTCTACTGCGTTGATGTAGCATACTGTGTGTGTGTGGTCAAGACAAACCTGATCTGACCACAGTCGAGTTTAGCAATTCTAATTGGTTTGTTTTCTGATTGCAGGGCAGAGCCTAGGTTATGGGTTTGTGAATTACGTGGACCCGAAAGATGCAGAAAAAGCCATCAACACATTAAATGGCCTGAGACTTCAGACCAAAACCATTAAGGTAAGCAAGCACTCACCGATCCCTCAAGTATCACATGAGTGTTCATTCAATTCTCCACCATGATGGAATTTTAACCTGTTAACTTTATTGTATTCTGTTGTTCTATTCTAAAGATTTTCTGTTCTATTGTTATTCTGTTCCTGTTCTATTGTTGTTCTGTTCTATTGTTCTGTTCTGTTGTTATGTTCTGGTTCTGTTCTATTGTAATTCTTATTATGTTGTTCTATTCTAAGGCATTTCCAATTTCCATACACTTAGTATCCAGTGGCTAAATGGACCATTGCATGGTAATTGTGTGCTGTCCAAATGTTCTAACTTCCTGTTTGATATTAAGTAGAGTCATTGTGAAGCGGAGAGGGGAGCCTGTAATAAGTGTAGCTAAGTAGAGCAGAGCTGTTTCTATGGTTGCATGTGCTGCCGTAACGCGCCTGTGTGATGCCGGTACAGGGAGGTGGCTCGCTTATTGGTATTCATCTGGCAGAGCCGGTATCGATGTGCTGGAGAAACTCATTTGCTTCATACAGTGCGTCAGGACCTGTGAACGCTGGGGCTGAGTTTATTGGATGTGATTTTCCACGGTGCATACACTGGCCTGATCCAACAGGGGGAGAAAATGTCCACTTGTGAAAAATGTATTCTGCGTCTCTAAACATCTCCCCCCGCCCCCCAAACCTCTGAAATAGGGCACGGTTATTCAAATATACAAACGGATGTTAGGCTATTTACTTTTCTCCATGCGGCGTGTAGTTTGTTGGTATTGTCGGCCAGTAAGTGGCGCGCGACGTGAAGTGGGAGATCTCTAATTTGATGCTGAATGGAATTAAAATGACTGATTAAATTAGCAAAATGAGGAGTAGGCTACAACGCGCAACCAACAGGTAGGCTGTTTTAATCTGAATGGAGTTGTTTTTAGATGAAGGGCGCAGCAAAAGCAAAACCGCCTCAACTAGCCTAGCTGGCTAGCTAACGTAGCTCTTTACATCTATTTGTTGCCGTGAAGACAGGCACTGACAGATCGGTTCATAGACAACCTATGGTAGCTACAGGTCTAACTAGCTTAGCTCAGTGGCTCTCTCTCTCCTATGCCTCACGTCACACACCAGCCCCTGCTAATCCTCCGCCCTGCAGTCGGCGCGCACCTTTTCTCCGGAGTCGCCCAGGCTGCGCAGCAAGCAAGTGTCAAAGTTGAAAGTTACAATCTGGATATCCCCAAAAAACTATGGCAATTATTTTGAATACTCTTCCCTACTCTGAAATTAGAACACTGTCATTAATATGGAGTTGGTCTCCCTTTTGCTGCTATAACAGTCTCTACTCTTCTGGGGAGGTTTTCCACTAGATGTTGGGACTTCCTTCCATTCAGCCAGTGAGGTGGGGCACTGATGTTGGGCGATTAGGCCTGGCTCGCAGTCGGCGTTCCAATTCATCCCAAAGGTGTTCGATGGGGTTGAGGTCAGGGCTCTGTGCAGGGCAGTCAAGTTCTTCCACACCGATCTCGACAAACCATTTCTGTATGGACCTCGCTTTGTGCTCGGGGGCGTTGTCATGCTGAAACAGGAAAGGGCCTTCCCCGAACTGTTGCCCAAAGCACAGAATCGTCTAGAATGTCATCGTATGCTGTAGCGTTAATATTTCCCTTCACTGGAACTAAGTGGCCTAGCCCGAACCATGAAAAACAGCCCCAGACCATTATTCCTCCTCCACCAAACTTTACAGTTGGCACTATGCATTGAGGCAGGTAGCGTTCTCCTGGCATCCGCCAAACCCAGACTTGTCCGTCGGACTGCCAGATGAAGCGTGATTCATCACTCCAGAGAACGAGTTTCCACTGCTCCAGAGTCCAATGGCGGCGAGCTTTACACCACTCCAGCCGACGCTTGGCATTGCGCATGGCGATCTTAGGCTTGTGTGCAGATGCTCGGCCATGGAAACCCATTTCATGAAGCTCCCGACGAACAGTTCTTGTGCTGACGTTGCTTCCAGAGGCAGTTTCCACTTCACAATAACAGCACTTGACCGCGGTAGCTCTAGCAGGGCAGACATCTGACAAACTGACTTGTTGGAAAGGTGGCATCCAATGACGGTGCCACGTTGAAAGTCACTGATTTGAAGGGGTGTCCACATACTTTTGTATATCGTGTGTGAGTGTGTTATATATCACCTGAAATTCTCCAGCTGCTCTTTCAGAAGTAAAACCAAAAAAAAACGTGAGCCAGAAGAATATACTTTGCATCAAATGCAGTGAGACTGGGGGAGGAAGGGATGGGAGGGGGGTTCCTATTTGGAGGTGTAATTGGACTGGGTGAATTTTATTGATCCAATCCATTGGGCCAGATTGCGGAGCGGGTCTTGGTAGAGGACCATTTAGCGGGTTTGACACTAATGAATTACGGCCGCGGTGCACACTCCAAAACACAGACCTGTCACACACACACAGACCTGTCACACACACATTTACATTTTGGTCATTTAGCAGACGCTGTTATCCAGAGCGACTTAGTTAGTGAGTGCATACATATTATTATTATTATTATATATATTTTTTCTCATACTGGCCCCCCGTGGGAATCGAACCAACCATCCTGGCGTTGCAAGCGCCATGCTCTACCAACTGAGCTACACGGGGCCCATACACACACACACAGACCTGTCTCACACACAGACCTGTCTCACACACAGACCTGTCACACACACAGACCACACACAGACCTGTAATAATATAATAATAATAATAATAATATGCCATTTAGCAGACGCTTTTATCCAAAGCGACTTACAGTCATGCTTGCATACATTTTTTTTTTTGTGTATGGGTGGTCCCGGGGATCGAACCCACTACCTTGGCGTTACAAGCGCTGTGCTCTACCAGCTGAGCTACTGAGGACCTGTCTCCGCCACGAGGCAAAGGGAGGAGCAGAACACAGCAGCCCACGCTCCTCTCAACGCTGTCCCCACCACTGTCCCCACGCTGTCCCCACGCTGCTCCACACGCTGTCCCCACGCTGCTCCACATGCTGTCCCCACCACTGTCCCCACCACTGTCCCCACGCTGCTCCCCACGCTGTCCCCACGCTGTCCCCACGCTGCTCCCCACGCTGTCCCACCACTGTCCCCACGCTGCTCCCCACGCTGTCCCCACGCTGCTCCCCACGCTGTCCCCACGCTGCTCCCACACTGCTCCCCACGCTGTCCCCACGCTGCTCCCCACGCTGTCCCCACGCTGCTCCACACACTGCTCCCCACGCTGTCCCCACGCTGCTCCCCACGCTGTCTCCACGCTGTCCCCACGCTGTCCCCACGCTAACTCCACACGCCTAAACTCTCACTTTGTGTGTGCGTGCCTGCATTGAAGGATGGTATCCTCAGAAAACGAATTGTTAAGAGGTGTGATGTATTTATCTTCAGTTCTAGTAGACTATCTGGTACCCTCCTGTTTTCTATTACGTGGAGGGGGGGGAACAAATGTTGATTTCTGACTAAGCTGGAGAAGTTAGTTTGGTCCCAGTGTTGAAGGCGAAACACACCTTTTGTGTGCAGAATAACTTGGATGGGTGCATGCATATAATTGCTATTTGAAGTTGGGAAGATGGCAGCGATGCTCTACGATAGTGAAAGAGAATCATACTTGTTTCATTGAAGTAAGAATGTAAATTGTCCTGGTACAGGTAACTGCCAGAAATAAGGAAACACCAACCTAGTGTCTTTTAGTAGGGCGTTTGGGCCACCAGAACCACTTCAATGCAGCTCGGCATATATTCTACAAGTGTCTGGAAACTCTATTGGTGGGATGCGACACCATTCTTCAGGCGCCACTCCAGAATCTCCCTGCCCCCCCCCCCCCCCCTCCCCTCCTATGTGAGGGTCCACCCCCTACCATACACAACCCAGCCATGTCAGACCCAGCTACCCTGCCTATGGAAGGTGAATAACAAACTGAGCTTACACAACATACAGAATGGACCTGTGTGAGATCTGGCTTGAATGGACCATATACAGGTAACTGCCAAAGTTTCTTAATAGGGCGTTGGGCCCACTGAGCCAGAACTGCGTCATGTCGCCTTGGCGTAGATTCTACAAGCAACGCAGTTCTTCATTTGGTGTTTTTTGTTGATGGTTGTGGAGAACGCCGTCTCAGGCGTCGCTCCAGAATCTCCAATAAACGTTCAATTGGGTTGAGATCTGTTGACTGAGACTGCCGTGGCATATGGTTTACATCATTTTCATGCTCATCAAACCATTGAGACCACTCGTGCCCTGTGGACGGGGGCATTGTCATCATATGGGGGCATAGCCATGGTAGCCAAAATAATGGCCTGCCCAGCATTTTTATACATGACCCTAAGCATGATGGGATGTTAATTGCTTCATTAAAAATAAATAAATTGGTCATTTAGCAGACGCTCTTATCCAGAGCGACTTACAGGAGCAATTTAGGGTTAAGTGCCTTGCTCAAGGGCACATCGCCAGATTTTTCACCTGGTCGGCTCGGGGATTAGAACCAGCGACCTTTCGGTTACTGGCAGGAACCACACCTGTGTGGAACCACCTGCTTTCAATATACTTTGTATCCCTCGTACTCAAGTGTTTCCATTATTTTGGTAGTTACCTGTTTGTGTGTGTGTGTGTGTAGATGTGTGTGGAAGAATGTCACAAGGATGATGCAATTTAGACAGCTTTTTTTTTTTGTTGAAATGGGTCAACAACAAAAAAAATGTTATCTCAAAATGAATTCAATCAAGTGATCGAATACGAACATCCCTTTCGGAGATTCGAATAACCGTGCCCATCCCCTAATACCAACCCACATTTATTTTTATCCCTCAGTGGGCTTGTTTGATATAAAAAGTATTTAAGTGTCTACCCTACAAAAAGGTCTGGAACCAAACTAAGCCTGGAACCTGAAATGTTACGTGTTCAGACACAGCCTTGTGTTTTGAAACATTCCAGAAGCCATCATGGAGACCCCGAGACTCGTGAATATGGATTTCCGCATGATTGTGGCATTTTATTTATTTTTAACTAAATCAACAACTTGTTCAGAGCACTGGATGTTTATCATTGAATTCACAGCCTTTGATTGGCCCTGCACTCGTTAGACATAACAAACACGGGGGGGTCTTGGGATTTCACCTCTCGTTTCTCCACTGCTGGTAATGTGAAGGCTGTCGCCACCGTTTCTGTGAGGGCACTAGTGGCATTCTTCAGTGTGAACTGTCATTTGGTGTGTTTAAGAGGACGCTAACCAGTCTCTCGTAATTGCTTCCGCTCTAGGTTTCCTACGCTCGTCCAAGCTCAGCCTCCATTAGAGATGCAAATCTGTACGTCAGTGGCTTGCCAAAAACCATGACTCAGAAAGAACTGGAGCAGCTCTTCTCTCAGTACGGACGAATCATTACCTCACGCATTCTGGTGGACCAGGTGACCGGTGAGTAGGAAGCCCCCCACTCGCTGTCTTTGTCTTACCCCCCCCTCCCCCCCCCACCGCTGGCCAGGCCTCAGGAATGAATCTGTGGTCCCAACATGCAGCCTTTCATAAATCTACATTAGCAATAGAATGAAATGTTATTCATTCTGGCTCTCCATCCCTCCTTATAACCCCCCGAAGGTGTAGCTGTAATACGTTTTCATGGCAAGAAATAAAATAAATGTACAACTGTTTTATAATCTCCATTTCCAAACTGCCATGTGGAAATGGAATCCGTATGCTCCTTATGAAATGGTAATAAACAGAATCTCTCTCGTGGAGCCATTTCCCACCTCTCTGCTGCAGAAATTTACCATGTTCAGTCAAAGATTAGGGACAAGGCTTTCATATGTAATTTGTTGCCAGTGCAATTTGGGGGTGTTGTGTTCAAAACGTGACTACAGACCAAGTCTACCTACTCATATATATTCAGTGGGTTTTCGAGAAGGGGATCTTATTCATGCTTCCCCGTCTGCAAATATGTTGAATCTGTTTAGCTTATTGACTAAATGGATATCATTTCCTTGTGGGGTTTTGTGATTTTGAAAAATAACTACATTTCTAAGATCCGTTGTAGGCTTGACGGTTCGATGACCGAGGTTTCTGTTATGCAGCTTCATTTCTTAGTATTATTGACAATAAACCAGCAGTGTTTCTTATTCTTGGTGTTGGGGACCCAAAGGGTCACTAGAAACTAGCGTCCTGTCCAGGGGGGGGATCTATTTGAAGGTCAAGCTGCCTCACGCTATAGAAACGGATCGATGAGCAGTTCTGGCTCGAACAAGACTATATATAATGACGTGTAGCAAGTCACTGAGCTTCTAAACATGATGCTTGTGGTCCCCAGGTGTCTCCAGAGGGGTGGGTTTTATCCGTTTTGACCGGCGAATCGAAGCGGAGGAAGCCATCAAGGGCCTGAACGGCCAGAAGCCGCCGGGCGCCACAGAGCCCATCACGGTGAAGTTTGCCAACAACCCCAGCCAGAAGACCAGCCAGGCCCTGCTCTCTCAGCTGTACCAGTCGCCCAATCGAAGGTACCCCGGACCCCTTGCACAGCAGGCACAGCGCTTCAGGTAAAGGGGCACACCTAAAACAAACCTACCCACCGCATTCTGATTAGCGCTAAGCCAAGTCATAGCCTACCTATAAAGACATGAAATCAATTTATTCCTCATAGGTGAAGGAGGAGAAAAAAATTATAATAAAGGCATTTGAATTGTCTCGCTTAACAGTGGAATACTGTAGGCTACATGACACGACAACTTATCAAAACATCCAGAGTTATTCAAAATAATTTACGCTATTCACACTTAAACCATATTTGCACTTTGCTGTGTTCCACCTGTTGCAAGTATCTAGTCTTGTTGAAGTTGAACGTAGGTTTGAGGGATTTTGGGAGTTGTATTGTGGTCATTTAAAACACTTGACTGTTTGAAAACCCCCTGAGAAAAAGGCAAACCAACAAATAGGCTTTATGATCTGTATTGCCACCCTTCCTATTGCTGCTGAATGACTTCTTATTGAGCTGTCCAAATTGACTGTACCGTATGATTTGATTTTTGGCACTCTTAGTGTAAGGAATTTAGTGTATTCTATCTCATGTAAGCTGAATATTTATTAAAGGTCCGATGCAGCCGTTTTTATCTCCAATATCAAATCATTTCTGGGTAACGATTAAAGTACCTTACTGTGTGATTTTTGTTTTCAATTAAAGTGGTAAAAAATAAACCGCTTCTTTAGCATTTAGCTAGGACTGTCTGGGAGTGGTCTGAGCGGGGAGGGGAAAACAGAACATTTGCTCTCATTAGCAGAGGTTTGGAAGTCTCCTATTGGTCTATTATCTAATTTACTGAATGGTGATGTCACCATGGAAGGCCAAAACTCCACCCCACCAAAAAAGGCTGAAATTTCAGGCGGTATGTTCAAACAACTCTTAAACTAAAAAGGCAAATATAGATAGATAGATAGAGAGATAGATAGATAGATATCACACAAACAGGAAAATCACATTTGACTGCACTGGGCCATTAACCATACTTTTCTTCCCTAGTGACTCAATTTTTATTTGCCTTTTTTGATGAATGTGGGTGCACTTGTAGTTAATGGCTTTGTATTCCTTTTCGTTATTCTTGTTGACCATATAATGGTCCTTCACATCGACATTAGTGTGACAATACCACACAATGTAAACAATGTTATTTGGGTGATTTTTTTTTTTTTTTTTTCCTGGGGATTTCCAGCTCGCGTTTTTGTCTCTGAAAACATATGCGCATTGGCATCTTTTTATGAATGCGTTGAACTTCATCAATGTTCTGCAGTATGTGCTTCAACTGAACTCTACTTTCATTTCAGGTTGGACAATCTGCTAAACATGGCATACGGAGTCAAGAGGTAATTCATCTATTACAGTTGCAGTTTTGCATTTAGAAAATCCTTTGGGGGGGGGGGGGGGGGGGGGGCACATTGGGTGTTTTCCGTCCGAGATGGGATGTGTCAGGCCTAGATCATTTTTCCATGACTATGTTCAGCAGTGGGGGACATGGGCTGTTCCCTATACTGAATAGAATTTGAGGTTGTCAGTCAGGGAAATATTCGGGCATTTGTGTAAGCCAGTGTGTATGTCACGTGTGTGTGTGTGTGCTTGGCAGTGAGGGCTTTGGCAGTAAGTGTGTGTGTGTTAGTAGTGTGCAGGTTAGCTCTTTGTTCACCCACCCGCAATTGCTAATAACCCATCCGCAACCACCCGACTATGTAACAAAGTGAAAATGAGGGCCGCACCCGACCATAACCTGCTAATATAGGAAATGTGCTGTTGGCTACAGTCAGAGATGGTGGCATTATCTTTGACGGGGGGGTGCAGGATTTCTTTGGCCTGATTTTAGTAATGCTTCCATTTCCAATTTCCGACGTTTTGTTAGTGGTCTTGTCTATAATTTAGATTTATGCAGCTTCTCTTCTGTCATTTATATGTTGCCCTTGAAGACTAAATAAACCCTTTATCACCAGAATGTCATAAATGATAGAATGAACGCTTCGATCTAGTTGACATCGGTAAAGTTCTGTCATCTCTGCTTCTTTCGTGACGCAAAGACGTTTAGGGACCGGGAAGAAAATGCAAGAACTCAATTTATTTTCCAAATGACGACAGTTTGACCGGTTGTAAGGACGTGGAAAGCTTTGAAAACGACCCAACATGTTTGGGGCTTGGATACATATTTTATGTGGTTGATATACTGTCAGCTTTTATGATGCTGATCCTCTATATACAGACGGTATCGAACTGCGCATTCAAAATGCTGAAAGAAAGAAACAATATTTATCCACTCCTGTTCCCGAGTCCAAAACATTTGGTGTATAATTTTACTGCAAGAAATTTTTAATTCTGCAGGAGTTAATATTAAGGCTATGTGAGAGGATGTAGACCTACAGTCAGTGTCCAGAGTTCAGTTTCCACTTAACCCATCTGAACAGTAGGCTGCAGTTCCCTTGAGTATTTGAAGTTCCCATCTTGGCACTGCTATCCTCCTCTTTTTACCACTTAAAATCTTTCCCATGACTGTTTCTGGACCTCCCTTCTCTTTTATTTTCAGCTCTCCATTTCACAGTTTTCCTCTTATTGGATTAAACTCCAACACTGTCCTTTTTGCCTTTATGGATAGACGGTCACTTTTTTTTTTTTTTTTTTGCCCGTTCCCAAAAGCAATTGGTGTTTGTAGGCTATTGGGCATACAGTTAGTCCCTAAAGTACAGGCTGACTCACTAATACCATATAGACTACAATAATGTAACCTCAATGTAGCCTACAGATAGAAATTGCACAAGAACGAGACATTTAAGGATGTTTTTAAGGTATTTTCTCTTTATTCAACCCGCGCATCCCTAGTGTGTGTGTGTGTGTGTGTGAAGGAGAGAGGGTCAGGGGCAAACATGCTGCTGGGCTCTGAGGCTGATTCACGCTGGCAGGAGAAAGGCCAGTGACAGGTCACATGTCAGACAGTGAGTTCCTACCTGATCCTAAAAGCACTCTTTCTCCCTCGCTCTGTCTCCCCCTCTTTCTCACTCTGCTTTCTCGCGCTCCGCCTCTCTCGCGCTCCGCCTCTCTCGCTCGCTCTCCGCCCCCCTCGCTCGCTCTCCGCCCCCCTCGCTCGCTCTCCGCCCCCCTCGCTCGCTCTCCGCCTCGCGCTCCGCCCCCCTCGCTCGCTCTCCGCCCCCCTCGCTCGCGCTCCGCCCCCCTCGCTCGCTCTCCGCCTCTCTCTCTCACTCGCTCTCCGCCTCGCGCTCCGCCCCCCTCGCTCGCTCTCCGCCCCCCTCGCTCGCTCTCCGCCTCTCTCTCTCGCGCTCCGCCACATCTCTCATTTTGTCATGTGAGATCTGACTGGCAGTTTTAGTTTTTAGTAACCGTCACAATAGAGTTAATGTATTGACCGTAAAGCAGTGTCTGTCCACAGACCTTGAATGAATACTGCTTTTCCTTGTAGTTCTCAGTGTGCTCTGTCAAACCTTGTTTTAGTTTTTACCTTGATCCATTATTGACAATCGTGTCCCGTTTTTTAAACAACCGAGACTGCAGTGTCAGCCGCCTTTCAGGTACTTGACTCCAGTATGGCATTTAGTTTGAGCTTTAATTTCACACACTGCCTTCCTGAAGCCTGATTCAAGTTCAAATCACACTCTGCCTGATTTTGAAGTTCAATCCTTCAAAAGGCTCTCCTTTCCTTCACTGGTAGACTTGTGATTTCTCACTGCTCGTGGGCTGGTGTCTTGGTTGCCAAATCTCGTGCAGGGTCCGTGATGTTCTGAGCACACCTGTCATGGTGCATGTTCCCTGAGAGGAGAACTGGAGCAGCTCATCTCATCTGACACCAGCTGAAATAATTCATGCTCTCCTGTGCACTTTGCTTTTTGTTTCCTCAAACTGCAAAACCACAATTGGCTAGGAGCTGGGATTTCGGGAGACTTAATTGTTGTCTTTGTAACCTAAATCACATTTCATATGGTGGGATTTCCCTCCTGGTTTTTCAGGAAATTCTTGAACTGTGCTATTTAGGAAGTATACCATGTTTTGCCTAAGGTGGTCAAGTGGCAATGAGAAAGTAGGGTTATGGTGGTTAATCGGTTTACCAAAAATAAATTTGACCCATCATGCTTATCAGTCTGGGTTAATTTGTATAATTTAGTGGAATTAAATTGGTGTGTATTTTCATTAGTCGTCATGCATTTTATTTATCACGTGCAGCATACAGAGACTAGTTAGAGAGGAATACCACCTGTCAGACGGCATACAGAGACTAGTTAGAGGAGAGGAATACCACCTGTCAGACGGCATACAGAGACTAGTTAGAGAGGAATACCACCTATCAGACGGCATACAGAGACTAGTTAGAGGAGAGGAATACCACCTGTCAGATGGCATACAGAGACTAGTTAGAGGAGAGGAATACCACCTGTCAGACGGCATACAGAGACTAGTTAGAGGAGAGGAATACCACCTGTCAGACGGCATACAGAGACTAGTTAGAGGAGAGGAATACCACCTGTCAGACGGCATACAGAGACTAGTTAGAGGAGAGGAATACCACCTGTCAGACGGCATACAGAGACTAGTTAGAGGAGAGGAATACCACCTGTCAGACGGCATACAGAGACTAGTTAGAGGAGAGGAATACCACCTGTCAGACGGCATACAGAGACTAGTTAGAGGAGAGGAATACCACCTGTCAGACGGCATACAGAGACTAGTTAGAGGAGAGGAATACCACCTGTCAGACGGCATACAGAGACTAGTTAGAGGAGAGGAATACCACCTGTCAGACGGCATACAGAGACTAGTTAGAGGAGAGGAATACCACCTGTCAGACGGCATACAGAGACTAGTTAGAGGAGAGGAATACCACCTGTCAGACGGCATACAGAGACTAGTTAGAGGAGAGGAATACCACCTGTCAGACGGCATACAGAGACTAGTTAGAGGAGAGGAATACCACCTGTCAGACGGCATACAGAGACTAGTTAGAGGAGAGGAATACCACCTGTCAGACGGCATACAGAGACTAGTTAGAGGAGAGGAATACCACCTGTCAGACGGCATACAGAGACTAGTTAGAGGAGAGGAATACCACCTGTCAGACGGCATACAGAGACTAGTTAGAGGAGAGGAATACCACCTGTCAGACGGCATACAGAGACTAGTTAGAGGAGAGGAATACCACCTGTCAGACGGCATACAGAGACTAGTTAGAGGAGAGGAATACCACCTGTCAGACGGCATACAGAGACTAGTTAGAGGAGAGGAATACCACCTGTCAGACGGCATACAGAGACTAGTTAGAGGAGAGGAATACCACCTGTCAGACGGCATACAGAGACTAGTTAGAGGAGAGGAATACCACCTGTCAGACGGCATACAGAGACTAGTTAGAGGAGAGGAATACCACCTGTCAGACGGCATACAGAGACTAGTTAGAGGAGAGGAATACCACCTGTCAGACGCATACAGAGACTAGTTAGAGGAGAGGAATACCACCTGTCAGACGGCATACAGAGACTAGTTAGAGGAGAGGAATACCACCTGTCAGACGGCATACAGAGACTAGTTAGAGGAGAGGAATACCACCTGTCAGACGGCATACAGAGACTAGTTAGAGGAGAGGAATACCACCTGTCAGACGGCATACAGAGACTAGTTAGGGAGAGGAATACCACCTGTCACGACGGCATACAGCGACTAGTTAGAGGAGAGGGAAGACCACCTGTCAGACGGCATACAGAGGATAGTTAGAGGAGAGGAATACCACCCTGTCAGACGGCATACAGAGACTAGTTAGAGGAGAGGAATACCACCTGTCAGACGGCATACAGAGACTAGTTAGAGGAGAGGGAATACCACCTGGTCAGACGGCATACAGAGACTAGTTAGAGGAGAGGAATACCACCTGTCAGACGGGCAATACGAGACTAGTTAGAGGAGTAGGATACCCACACTGTCAGAAGCATTACAGGACTAGTTAGAGGAGAGGAATACCACATGTCAGACGGCATACAGAGGACTAGTTAGAGGAGAGGAATACCCCACCGGTCAGACGGCATACAGAGGACTAGTTAGAGGAGAGGAATACCACCTGTCAGACGGCCATACAGAGATAGTTAGAGGAGAGGAATACCACCTGTCGACGGCATACAGAGACTAGTTAGAGGAGAGGATACCACCTGTCAGACGGCATACAGAGACTAGTTAGGGAGGAGGAATACCACCTGTCAGACGCATACAGAGACTAGTTAGAGGAGAGGAATACCACCTGTCAGACGGCATACAGAGACTAGTTAGGGAGAGGAATACCACCTGTCAGACGGCATACAGAGACTAGTTAGAGGAGAGGAATACCACCTGTCAGACGGCATACAGAGACTAGTTAGAGGAGAGGAATACCACCTGTCAGACGGCATACAGAGACTAGTTAGAGGAGAGGAATACCACCTGTCAGACGGCATACAGAGACTAGTTAGAGGAGAGGAATACCACCTGTCAGACGGCATACAGAGACTAGTTAGAGGAGAGGAATACCACCTGTCAGACGGCATACAGAGACTAGTTAGAGGAGAGGAATACCACCTGTCAGACGGCATACAGAGACTAGTTAGAGGAGAGGAATACCACCTGTCAGACGGCATACAGAGACTAGTTAGAGGAGAGGAATACCACCTGTCAGACGGCATACAGAGACTAGTTAGAGGAGAGGAATACCACCTGTCAGACGGCATACAGAGACTAGTTAGAGGAGAGGAATACCACCTGTCAGACGGCATAGAGAGACTAGTTAGAGGAGAGGAATACCACCTGTCAGACGGCATACAGAGACTAGTTAGAGGAGAGGAATACCACCTGTCTGACGGCATACAGAGACTAGTTAGAGAGGAATATCACCTGTCAGACGGCATACAGAGACTAGTTAGAGAGGAATACCACCTGTCTGACGGCATACAGAGACTAGTTAGAGAGGAATACCACCTGTCAGACGGCATACAGAGACTAGTTAGAGGAGAGGAATACCACCTGTCAGACGGCATACAGAGGCTAGTTAGAGGAGAGGAATAACACCTGTCAGACGGCATACAGAGACTAGTTAGAGGAGAGGAATACCACCTGTCAGACGGCATACAGAGACTAGTTAGAGAGGAATACCACCTGTCAGACAGCATACAGAGACTAGTTAGAGGAGAGGAATACCACCTGTCAGACAGCATACAGAGACTAGTTAGAGAGGAATACCACCTGTCAGACGGCATACAGAGACTAGTTAGAGGAGAGGAATACCACCTGTCAGACGGCATACAGAGACTAGTTAGAGGAGAGGAATACCACCTGTCTGACGGCATACAGAGACTAGTTAGAGGAGAGGAATACCACCTGTCAGACAGCATACAGAGACTAGTTAGAGGAGAGGAATACCACCTGTCTGACGGCATACAGAGACTAGTTAGAGGAGAGGAATACCACCTGTCAGACGGCATACAGAGACTAGTTAGAGAGGAATACCATCTGTCTGACGGCATACAGAGACTAGTTAGAGGAGAGGAATACCACCTGTCAGACAGCATACAGAGACTAGTTAGAGGAGAGGAATACCACCTGTCAGACAGCATACAGAGACTAGTTAGAGGAGAGGAATACCACCTGTCAGACAGCATACAGAGACTAGTTAGAGGAGAGGAATACCACCTGTCAGACAGCATACAGAGACTAGTTAGAGGAGAGGAATACCACCTGTCTGACGGCATACAGAGACTAGTTAGAGGAGAGGAATACCACCTGTCAGACGGCATACAGAGTATCTCTTCTAAAAGCCTGTAGGCTACTGGAGTGAAACTTGCTTTTGTAAAGCCCAGTCATTGCGCAACAAATAACAATTGTAAATGCAATCGCGTGTTACGAACTTTGGTGGATTTAAAGGAGCTATTTTAATTTTTCAGTCTCAACTCATAATTAAATCACGCCTCCCATTCAGGTGCATAGGGTTGTAACCATAGCTTGCCTACCGTTGACTATCAGTGAATCACCCACAGCTTGACGACTTTGCAATGTGAGCTTGAGGCAGTATAACGTAATGTGAGCTTGAGGCAGTATAACGTAATGTGAGCTTGAGGCAGTATAACGTAATGTGAGCTTGAGGCAGTATAACGTAATGTGAGCTTGAGGCAGTATAACGTAATGTGAGCTTGAGGCAGTATAACGCAATGTGAGCTTGAGGCAGTATAACGTAATGTGAGCTTGAGGCAGTATAACGTAATGTGAGCTTGAGGCAGTATAACGTAATGTGAGCTTGAGGCAGTATAACGTAATGTGAGCTTGAGGCAGTATAACGTAATGTGAGCTTGAGGCAGTATAACGTAATGTGCTTGAGGCAGTGTAATTGTTTGAAACCTGAACGTTTTACTTCTCTTTAAATAGAGGCATGTCTGACCTTGCTTCAAAGTAGCCTAGTGAAAGTCCATCCATAGAAACTTGGAGGCAATTCTTTTATAAAGACTTCCTCATGTCATTAACCAGCATTTCTCTCCTGTTCTATTGGTTTTCATATCAACTTTCTTTCATTGTCCAGAAGCCAAAGGCACAGTGCTGGTCATATTAGCAACACATCATAGTTGTTGCTATTAGATTCCCCCTCTTTCTAAGTTTCTAACTGAGATTTCCATCTCTGTCTCGTGGAATTGCTCGCATGTTTCTAAGCTCTTAATGAAAAATGTCCGGTCCGTGTATACATGCATAGTATCAGAGAGGAAGAGGCGATGCGAGAGCTTTCACGCTCACCAGAATCTGTCCAAAATTTGCACAATGGGTTTCTATAGGCTTATTTTGGGCCTAAGCTTGTTGCCTGCCTTCCCGCCTTGGGACGACTTCCATTGTTAGGGCGGAAAACATAAGCGTCTCGTCATTATATACAGATCTCTGATAGTATTTTCTGTTGGTCACGTCATTTTACTGTTTGGAAAATGTTTTACTGTTTGTTGACCGGTTAATGAGGGTCAGTTAGTCGGCAGCAAGATTTACCGAAATGTGCATCCCTAAATAGGGTACATTGTTTGGTTTTGTTTCAAACTTAATGTAGTCATAATCATGCAGTTGAAAGTGATTTTGTCATCAGTTTTTGTGCAGTTAGATAAACCTAAAAGCTTTTTAATGAGTTCAATGAAAAGTCACTGAAACGCAGCACTGTATTTCATGACATTTAATACTGTCAGCACCTTCAGTGATGGGTTTTTGTTTTGACCTGTGCTTGTCTTCTTGTTTTACAGCCGGTTCTCCCCCATGGCCATTGATGGGGTGACCAGTCTGGCTGGCATCAACATCCCGGGGCATGCGGGCACCGGCTGGTGCATCTTCGTCTATAACCTGGCTCCGGACGCAGACGAGAGCATTCTGTGGCAGATGTTTGGGCCGTTTGGCGCCGTCACAAACGTCAAGGTCATCCGGGACTTCAACACAAACAAGTGCAAAGGGTTCGGATTTGTCACCATGACTAACTACGACGAGGCAGCCATGGCCATCGCCAGCTTGAACGGATACCGCCTCGGGGACAGAGTTCTGCAAGTCTCGTTCAAAACCAACAAAACGCACAAAGCCTAATCTCCATCTCAGATTGTTTATAGAAAACTCTACAGAAAATGGAAAAACCTAAAATGGAAACCTACCGACCGTAAACTTTCTACATTAGTAAAAACATATTTGTAAATCAGTGTTACGAAGGGAAACTATTTAGCGTCCAACAGTGTTTTCTTTGTGTTCCTTCATTGCTAGGCTTTGAAACTTCTTAAAATACTTTGCGTTGAACCAGAAAAAATACTGCAGGTTTTCACGCCTGTCTTTAAATCTGGACCTTTTAAAAATGTTACTGATAAGGTTTTTTTTTGGTTTTTTTGTTGCACTTCTGCTTTGAAAACAGTAAGTCTTGTAAGGCTTTGTGTAGTGATTTTCTTTGTATTTTTCTGTGTCCTGATTTTGCCTAGGTGCGTTTTTTGAGTCTTAAGTGGTTAACAAAGTATTTATTTTTGACTATTCTGTTTTTGTAATTTTCTTTTGTTAGTATTATGTTTATCGTAATATGAGTTATTGGTTGGCTGCAGAATATTGCTTATTGTAAAATGAATGGAGAAAAATAGAAAAATAATCTTAAAGCAGTACCTTGCCAAAGAGCTAAGAACCTCTTTGATGTGGGTTTAAAAAGCATCTATTTTTATAAAAAGACAAATTTGGAGAAACTTTTTACTGGACCTGGAACAAATATTTTGACTTGGATACTTTGAGAAATATCTTCATATGACACCTTACCAGGAAGTTTGCAGTGGTTGACATTTCTGGAGAGATTTCTGACGTAAAAGATACCTTTTGAGATCTTTGTATTATCTTTCGATTCTAGAATCCATGGCAGTGACGGTTTCATTTGTAAAATCATCTGTGGGTTGTCCTATCATCCTGGTTGTTATGACTAGCAAATCCAATTCACTATTTTGATTTGGAAACAGACAGAAAAAAATACGAAGGTTTATTTGCAAAAAGTGCATGCAAAATTATAGTGGAAATATCTTCAAGGTAAAGGGGGGGATAAAAAATCAGTTCTTCCTAAAGAATTCCCTTCAGACAGAGCTCTCATGGTGGTTTGTGCTGTACTTACTATATCATTGACTCATTTTGTCTTTATATTAAACAAATAAGGGTTTTACCTACTTTGTATGAAAGTGGGAGGAGAGGACAAGCTGACGAAGGCAGCAGATAAAGGAAACTAGTTTGAATGAACAATGGGAAAGATTACTCCTGGGCTTAGAGCTATGTAAATAAGTCTTATTTTTTATTTATTTTTATGTTGAGTATTTAGCTAGCATATTTTTGTTTTTTTGGACTGTATGGCAAAGTGCTTTTTTATTTACAAGTAACTACAGTGTGATTTTATTTCTTTTTGGGGATATTGCCTTATTTTGATTTCAGTTCGACTTTGAAAGTTGTTTACATTCAGTTAAAATACTTGATTTGTTGTCCTATGGACTAGCATTACAGTGTCAGATTTGTTGGTGATTTGGTCTTTAGATGGTCTTGCTTCTTCTATTAAGAACTATAGACATTTAAGTTGATTTGTTTTATATATAAACATTATAGATATATATTTATGTGGTAAAGAATGGATATAACCCAGTTTTTAGCTATTTGATTACTTTATTTTATTCGTATATACGTAATGCATAATAACCTGTCTTAAAAATCGTAAAAGGTGTGTATATTGCTTTATTCACTTGAAGCGGTTCCATGACCATATCAAAAAGGGTTGCAAGAGATTTGCCCCGAATAACATCTTGCTTATCTCGGAACAAACGGAGGCTGGTCAAGCCCTTAGATGCACTGAGTACTGCACCTGCATCTTGCTTTGTCTTGAGCTCATTACTAGCCATGCTTCTCCTTAACGAGCAGTGTGCTGTGCATTATTTATATATATTTGCAACTGCTTTTCTTTTCTTGTTTTTGACTTTTTTTTTTTTTTTTTTTTGGGTTACTTGTACAAGTTAAACTTTGATTATAGATTAGCTGTGACACTGCTGCTGTGTGGGAGGGGCACCCATTTTCTCATGCCCAGCCTCTCACTGGTCTTGATTGAGGGGGGCTCTGACCATCTAGGCATGGAAAAATGAGTCCCCCCCCCCCACTTAATCTCAATTCTAAATGTGAGAATTATTATTTATTTGAAGTTGTACAGTATTACTTGGTTCACAGCGTTTTTTTGGGATAGAATATATCTTGAGTATTTAAAAGGATGTACATGTTATTTTCTTTGTGTTTGGAATACTTTGTATTTTTTCATGTTCAGTACATCAATAAATACGTTGGAAGGGAAATGCAGCTCTGTGGATAGACCCTGTGTGTTCAGCACAACCCTCAAGTTAACTTCTCCGACATGTCTCACATACACTACATGTTATTTCATAGTTTTGACATCTTCACTATTATTCTACAATGTAGAAAATGTTAAAAATAAAGAAACCCTTGAATGAGTAGGTGTCCACATTTTTGACTGCTAGTGTGTGTGATTGATTGATTGATTGAGATTGATATATATATATATCAATCACACACACTACCAGTCAAAAATTTGGACACCTACTCATTCAAGGGTTTCTTTATTTTTAACATTTTCTACATTGTAAAATAATAGTGAAGATATCAAAACTATGAAATAACACATATGGAATCATGTAGTAACCAAAAAAGTGTTAAACAAATCAAGTGTGCAAAGCTGTCATCAAGGCAAAGGGTGGCTATTTGAAGAATCTCAAATATAAAATATATTTTGATTTGTTTAACACTTTTTTGGTTACTACATGATTCCATATGTATTATTTCATAATTGTGATGTCTTCACAATTATTCTACAATGTAGAAAATAGTAAAAAGAAAGAAAAACCCTTGAATGAGTAGGTGTCCAAACTTTTGACTGGTACTGTATTTGTGTATTTAATGGAGAATACCATCCAGAGGTAATGAGTCACAAAGCCTGTCCATGTGGGTTTGACTTTAGTAGTGCTGGTTGATTGATCGCCATCCCCAAATGTTTCTTTATACTGCTTTTTATTCCAAAGAGAACTGGTAGGGCCTGGCCACCAGACAGTAGACATTGCAGAGCAGGTAGAAGGACCACCGTGGTAGGTACAAGGCAGATAGCTCAGGTAGAAGGACCACCATAGTAGATACAAGGCAGAGCAGGTAGAAGGACCACCATGGTAGGTACAAGGCAGATAGCTCAGGTAGAAGGACCAACGTGGTAGGTACAAGGCAGAAGGACCACCGTGGTAGATACAAGGCAGATAGCTCAGGTAGAAGGACCACCGTGGTAGGTACAAGGCAGATAGCTCAGGTAGAAGGACCACCGTGGTAGGTACAAGGCAGATAGCTCGGGTAGAAGGACCACCGTGGTAGGTACAAGGCAGAGCAGGTAGGACCACGGTGGTAGGTACAAGGCAGATAGCTCAGGTAGAAGGAACACCGTGGGAGATACAAAGCAGAGCAGGTAGAAGGAACACTGTGGTAGATACAAGGCAGAGCAGGTAGGACTACCGTGGTAGGTACAAGGCAGAGCAGGTAGGACCACCAAGGAAGATACAAGGCAGATGGCTCAGGTAGAAGGACCACCGTGGTAGATACAAGGCAGAGCAGGTAGAAGGACCACCGTGGTAGATACAAGGCAGAGCAGGTAGAAGGACCACCGTGGTAGATACAAGGCAGAGCAGGTAGAAGGACCACCGTGGTAGGTACAATGCAGATAGCTCAGGTTGAAGGACCACCGTGGTAGGTACAAGGAAGAGCAGGTAGGACCACTGTGGTAGGTACAAGGCAGATAGCTCAGGTAGAAGAACCACCGTGGTAGATACAAGGCAGAGCAGGTAGAAGGACCACCGTGGTAGATACAAGGCAGAGCAGGTAGAAGGACCACCGGGGTAGGTACAAGGCAGATAGCTCGGGTAGAAGGACCACCGTGGTAGGTACAAGGCAAATAGCTCAGGTAGAAGGACCACCGTGGTAGGTACAAGGCAGATAGCTCGGGTAGAAGGACCACCGTGGTAGGTACAAGGCAGATAGCTCAGGTAGAAGGACCACCGTGGTAGATACAAGGCAGAGCAGGTAGAAACCACCGTGGCAGGTACAAGGCAGATAGCTCAGGTAGAAACCCCAACGTGGTAGGTACAAGGCAGACAGCTCAGGTAGAAGGACCAACGTGGTAGATACAAGGCAGATAGCTCAGGTAGAAGGACCACCGTGGTAGGTACAAGGCAGATAGCTCAGGTAGAAGGACCACCGTGGTAGGTACAAGGCAGATAGCTCAGGTAGAAGGACCACCGTGGTAGGTACAATGCAGATAGCTCGGGTAGAAGGACCACCGTGGTAGGTACAAGGCAGATAGCTCAGGTAGAAGGACCACGGCAGATAGCTCAGGTTGAAGGACCACCGTGGTAGGTACAAGGCAGAGCAGGTAGGACCACTGTGGTAGGTACAAGGCAGAGCAGGTAGAAGGACCACCGTGGTAGATACAAGGCAGAGCAGGTAGAAGGACCACCGGGGGTAGGTACAAGGCAGATAGCTCGGGTAGAAGGACCACCGTGGTAGGTACAAGGCAAATAGCTCAGGTAGAAGGACCACCGTGGTAGGTACAAGGCAGATAGCTCGGGTAGAAGGACCACCGTGGTAGGTACAAGGCAGATAGCTCAGGTAGAAGGACCACCGTGGTAGATACAAGGCAGAGCAGGTAGAAACCACCGTGGCAGGTACAAGGCAGATAGCTCAGGTAGAAACCCCAACGTGGTAGGTACAAGGCAGATAGCTCAGGTAGAAGGACCACCATAGTAGATACAAGGCAGAGCAGGTAGAAGGACCACCATGGTAGGTACAAGGCAGATAGCTCAGGTAGAAGGACCAACGTGGTAGGTACAAGGCAGAAGGACCACCGTGGTAGATACAAGGCAGATAGCTCAGGTAGAAGGACCACCGTGGTAGGTACAAGGCAGATAGCTCAGGTAGAAGGACCACCGTGGTAGGTACAAGGCAGATAGCTCGGGTAGAAGGACCACCGTGGTAGGTACAAGGCA